AGCTCAGGTCATGATCTCACAGTTCATGAGTTCGAGCCCCAAATTGGTCTCTGTGCTCACAGTGTGGAGCCTGCTTGAGATTCTCTGTCTCTCCCTCTCTCTCTCTGCCCCTCCCTGGCTTGTGCTTTGTCTCTCTCCCTCAAAATAAATAAATAAACTTAAAATAGAAGAGAGATTCTCTTGTAAAAGAAAAATGTTGTATCTTTCTTAAATTTTTTTTTCTTTTTTTCAACGTTTATTTTTGGGACAGAGAGAGACAGAGCAGGAACGGGGGAGGGGCAGAGAGAGAGGGAGACACAGAATTGGAAACAGGCTCCAGGCTCTGAGCCACCAGCCCAGAGCCCGACGCGGGGCTCGAACTCACGGACCGCGAGATCGTGACCTGGCTGAAGTCGGACACTTAACCGACTGCGCCACCCAGGCGCCCCAAAAATGTTGTATCTTTCTATTTAGAAAAGCCAAGTGTCCATCAATGGATGAATGGGTAAACGAATTCTGATATTTCCATTCGATGAGATATTACTCAGCCATAAAAATGAGGCACTGACACCTGCTACAAGTGGGTGAACCTTGAAAACATGATACTCAGTGAAAAGCCAAACAGCAAAGACCACATACTGTGTGATTCCATCTGCGTGGAATGCCAGGAAAGCAGATGAGTGGGTGCCGGGGGCTGGGGGGGGGGGCAATTCATAAAGGGTACTAAGTTTCCTTTTGGGATAATGGAAATACTCCAGAACCAGACGGTGATGATGGTCGTATGCCGTTGTGAACATACAAAATGGCACCAAATTGTTCACTGTGAAATGGTTAATTTTGCATTATGTGAATTTTGCTCCAGTTTTCTACAAAGTGAAATAAGTGTTGGGCCAAGGTGAAGAGAAACTTCCATGCTAGCTTTCTAAGAACTTCACCATTTAGTCTTTTAGGTCAGGCAACAGTCGACCTGGGACATGAGAAATGCCGTGGTTCTCACTGACATTGATCACCTGCCTTCTGCGTTCTGGATACAGCACCAAACACTCTCCATGTGTGTTTGCCCTCACAGGTCTCTGTGGGAGAAGCTTTCTTTTATTATCATTACATGTTTTAAGACAAGGAAATCGAGGCACAGGAGAGTTACGAAATGTTAAAGTTTCAGTGAAGGAGGGAAACACCCCAGTGGGTAGACGAGACCTAAGTTTTGTGCGGGCCGAACTGCAGGCTCTTTGGGGCTCAGGCAAGTCTCTTCTGTCTCTGGGCCTCGGTTCCCCTGCCTGTGACACAAGGAGCCCGAGCTTGGGCAGTGCTCCTGCTGGATGCTGAGACCTGCTGGAATTGGCTGAACTCCAAGCCCTGGGCTCACTCAGAGCTTGTGTAGTTGGGGCTGAGCTCAGAGGATCCTGGTCACTCAGCAGAAGGCCGCGATGGGGTCCACAGACCCTTCCCGAGAGTAGCCCCTGGCTGGCCCTGAGCAGGGTAATTAACCTTGTAAACCCCAGTTCTACATTTGCAACCTCTCAGGTGGGGTATGGATAGCCCCCACCTCACTGCTAGGAGGGATAATCTGTCACCATAGGACCGCAGAACGCGGCAGCGTGAATTCAAGGTTATCGTAGCTACTACTGTGAGTGGGTGATTCTTTCTGGGCAGGAACACTGCTGCCGAGAAGGTGGAGGGGTCGAGGTGGGTCCGAGATAGGGTGTGTGAGCCCTGCCTGGCCCTCTGACAGACAGTGGCGGCTCCACTGGGCCCAGAACAAGTGGCAGGACTGATAAGGCCTCCTGGCCCTGGCCAGAGGGGACCCAGGTTGGGTGTACGGGTTTGGAATTTTCATTTCCAAGAATCAAGTTGTCTTCAAAAATTAGGTTACTAAACAGAATTATTTATTTATTTATTATTTAAAAAAAATTTTTTTTTTCAACGTTTATTTATTTTTGGGACAGAGAGAGACAGAGCATGAACGGGGGAGGGGCAGAGAGAGAGGGAGACACAGAATTGGAAACAGGCTCCAGGCTCCGAGCCGTCAGCCCAGAGCCTGACGCGGGGCTCGAACTCATGGACCGCGAGATCGTGACCTGGCTGAAGTCAGACGCTTAACCGACTGCGCCACCCAGGCGCCCCTAAACAGAATTATTTAAATGTATAATGAGGGCACAGAGGTGTGGGGTGTTAGCAGGGAAGAGTTGGAAGATGTGAGCAAAGGTTGGCCCTGGGCACATCATTGTCCAGGAAACTGTGAGGGCTTTGAGGTAGGACCACACTTAGAGACCACCTGCTCCCAATCCTGTTACAGGTGCGGAGGCCCAAAGCAGGGCCAGCCTACCCCCGGGTCCCTCCAGCTGCTGGCACCTGCTGGATTGTCCCGGAAGTGACAATGAGCTCTGATTTCTGTAACAGCCCAATGAGGCAGGTCAAGGTGGACTCTGAGATGCTGCCAGTGAGGGTGGTGTGCGATTCGGACCTCTGCTCTCTCCAGTCCAGCCCTGGATAGCCTTGCACCCGAGCCCTGCTAGGGCAGCCTGGGAAGGCATCCATGCAGGACCTCTGTGGCCTGGGTCCTAGTGGTCCCCCTTTACCTTTCATGGATCCCAGTACTCATTACTT